ATATATAAGCCCGACTGTCATCCTCTCCCAGTAGCGACTGTCTGCGCAAAATAAGGCTCAGTTCAGCATAAATCCTAAGAGCATTTTCATAAAGTGCTCGTCCTGATAGAACAGTGAAAAACTGTATAATATGCCTCATAAATGTTGCTGCGAAGGACTGAAGAAATAATATGGGGTCGTGTTTATGAGAGGCAGGAATTGAATATTTTATTCGACAGAAGTGACCTTGAAAACATTCCGAGTGACTCATAATGTGAGGTTCCTCTGAAATGGAATCGTCTCCCATTTCACTCTCTTCCTCATCTGAACAAAAATTTTTTTTACCTGAAGTGAACCTTCGATTAACAGAGGAGGGGGAACCCAAGAAAGAGTAGTAATGATCCTTGGAAGAGGAGCTGTCACTTGTGGCGGCTGGTCTCCATCCACTGGGACCGGCAATCGGCTCAACTTGCTCTTGTGGGAGTGTTACGGTCGAAGATTCATCGGAGGACACAGACTGATCTGCATAATATAATTAGCGAAAGTTATTTATTATTATTTTGTTTTAGTGTCATACTAGACTAATTATAACTCTAGCAATCTTTTAAAAAAATGTTACTGTTAAAGTATAAAACTGGGAGAAGCTAAGCAATCTATGGAATATATGCGGTTCTCAAAATGATTTTTATTCTTGTTAGTGAGATACTTTATAAACATATCTTAAAAATGTTTGACTGTTAATAAAAATAATTGATTAAGAAAAGAGCGCTGACCTCTTTCTTCCTGGCCCGCCCCCCGGATCATCTGCTTGGAGTATTGCCCCGCCCCAACTGTTGGAAAAAAATTATTATTAGCTCAAAGACTTATTTCATTATCTGAAAATAGCAGTTTTAAGAAAACATCAATTCAGAGCAATAACCTGGGTATCTCACCTGTCACGCATCTCCTGCGATGAGCTGTGACATTCGCTACACACACTGATAGCCCGCAGAAACTACAGGAGAAAGTGTGGTGAGCTGCATCCTGAGGGTATAATCGCCCGCATAGGTGGCATCTGCGAGCTGGGTGACGAGTCATATCTGTAAATACACACTCTCACTCTCATATTCCATAAATTATTTAAATTATAGATAATATTTTAATCTCCCATAGATAGAGAAGTTTTTACCTGCTCTAATCTAAGCTGGTAACTTTCTTGAGTGAGCGGGAAGAGCACCTTTCGCCCTAGACGAAAAGGTGAGCGTATTTATAGCTCGCTTTTAGGATAGCGTGCTCATAAGATGCTTAATTTTCCCCAAAGTAGAGGTACAGTTTTTCACATCAGTCTCTCTCTATTTTCACGAGAATCTTTTAAACAAAAATCCCTGCAAGTCTATATATTATAAATATAATCTAGAAAAGATTTCTTATTGTCAATAAAGTAAGAGGGATAAAATCTGGGAAGAACTCTTTTCCCGAACGAAAAAATAAGAATTTAGACCGGGCAAGTAGGGAGGATTACGTAAATTGCCATAGTCATGTGTGAATTTCCCATTTGTATAAAGCCGAGGCGAGGGAAAGATTAATTAATTAATTTATAGATTCTGACCATCGCCAAAACTAAATATTCTTAAAAATAATAATAATAATACTATATTTTGGCCCCATAATAAAATAAATAGGCATCAGCCGGCAGAAAGTGGTGGGGCCTGCTTCTCTTGGTCTTGACCTCCATTCGACCACCAACAACCTGGCGTAGGGAACGGTAGTGAAACTGGCGTAATATCCAGACGACCTTCACTGTCGTCGGGCTTTTTTACTATGGTCTTCTGGCGTAGAAGGCCATGCCGCCATTGTTTTATCTTCATCTCTGGATAAACTCCCCCTCCCCTCCCCTCTGCTTTGAACTAAAAATAAATGTTTTATAATATAAGGATGATTTCTTTCTCTTCCACAAAAAGGCTCATGTTGAAATGGGAAGATGGTCAAGGTCCTGTACCTTTACAGAGGAAGAGTTTTGATAATTTCAGAGAGCTGCAAGAAATACTGTTGCTGGATTTTAGCGGGGCAGCAAAGCTGTCTAGATGGGAGCGTTTATGTAAAAAATATGGCCGGTTCTTTCGCGAGAATAATCATTTCCATCTGGATGAAAAACTCACCCTTTGAAACAAACCACCTCTCTTAGTGAGAAAATCAATTTAGTGAAATCTCATTAACCCGCGGATTACCAAAATCCCCTTGAGACAGACAATAGCTCTCTGTATATATTTTGATTTGATGACCTTTTTAATGAAGCAGTTAAGAGTGATGTTATAGCCAATATTTTTACTAGAGGAAGACACGAGAAAAATATCCGTAATTCTCATATCCAAAATTTTTTTCCACAAGGAAAACGCTCGAAAACGATCACATTTAAATTGTACCCAAATATATTTTTTTTAAGCAACAGATCTGTCTCAGTTGGAATGTCTCGGGCGAACAAATTTTGGAAAAAATCTACCCCCGAAATTTGTTGAAAAAAACGCCCGGGGGCACTGCGGATAAATACGCTATTTTCGGGTTGTTTTAAAAACCGCTCCAAGGAAATTCAATTACAATTTCTTTACCGGAGAGGGAAACTGTGAAACGTATACCGCTGGTAAAAACAAAAACCCTTTAAAATTCACATAAAAAAAATTCTAGAAAAAGTATATAAGACGTCAATACCCCCGGGGCTTTACGGAAGAACAAACTTTTTAGACACTAGGGAGAAAAACGCCTCTATTACTTATAAAGACGTAGTAATTACCTCTTCTCAGAGGGCCATACTTTGCAAAATTGCACCTCTGCGATTCCCGACGGAAAACATAGCTCTGCCCCTCGCAAAAATACTCACCTGCGACTTGGGGACATGACTTTATTACATTCCCCAATGGGGGCTTTTAAAAAAAAATTTTTGTTATGCATAGATTCTTTCCCAAGGTTAATAAAGGGGCGGTAGGACACCCAAAAAAACTCAAAAAGCGTCTTGTCACCTTACGAAATATTTAGAAAGCCCCACCTTCCGTGAATTTCGAGATTACCACGACAGAGGGCCGATTTTTTTAAATCGCCTCTTCTGAATTACCTAAAAAAAAAAAATATTAAATTTTTACAGTACCTTCTGGGACACTAAGGCTGCAAAAAGGGAAGGGCTATTCGCACGCTTAACAAGAATCTACCGCTTTTTTGACTTTAACAAATTCTTTAAAATATAAAAGGGGTATTACCAGCCATATAGAAACTTCAACTCAACTCCTCACACCTCTCTCAAGAAAGGTCAAACCCAAAACAGTGCATTCTCTGATCTTCCCGAGACATTCGGGGCAGTTTGGCTAATGATTTAAATGCCCCCTCATCACCCGTACTAGTCCCCACGACTGACTCCTGGAGCGCAATGGGGATAACTACCACCGGGGGATATTTCACAAGAGTTTTTGGCCTCAAAACACCGAAGAAATTTTTTAAAATCCAATCGGTTGATAATCGCAAGTAATCCCCTCATTTTCTTTTATCGACCTGAGGGGGGAAAAAATACTCGGCAATTTTACGCTCGGGAATTAATAGAAACATCTCTCCCTAAAATTTTTTCCCTTTAAAAATATTGAGACGGAGAAGAAAAACTACGGCAGTAAAAATCGGTGAGTGGGGGGGTTATCCCGAAGTGCAGATACTGGGGCCGAAAGGACTTCAAAATGTCAGACGGGGTAACCCCTGGCTGCAACACAGAGACTTTAATTTTATTAAAAAAACTTTCCAGCTAAAGCCGCAATCGTATTATTAAGGAATTAAAAAAAAAAAAAAATTTAAATTGCATATCTGAATTTTTACTAATTTTCTTAAGAAAAATCAACAGTAAAACCCCGACATTTTGACAAATTAAAAAATTTTAGAGAGACATTCTCCCTTTTCCCGTAAACGAACTCCACTTAAAAAAAAAAAATATTCTTTCGAAGCGTGGAGGAGCCATTTTAACTACCCCTTACCTCTGGTCATCTCGCTGATTAGTATTTTTATAAAGTAAAAAATAACGAAATGGGGGAAAAGGAAATTTGTCCATCCCTCGGCAACCCCGCCGAAAAAAATTTTTAAAAATGGAACAAATATCTTACCCACTCCTAACGCGAATCTCCTTTTTCCCCCCCTTCGCAGAACACTGCAACCCCCACTATGGCGCGAGGAAGGGAAACTTCCAGCTCTGAAGTGAAAGTGAAACCACCCCAAAAAACAAGGGTGAGAAGGTCCCGCTCCTGCCCCACGTAGCAACTCGCCCTCATAAGGGGAATTTCCGCTTTGGGCTAAACCCCCTCCCCGACGGGCCCCCCCCGACTCTTTGTTGAGACTGGTGATCCCGATAAAAAAAAAAAAAAAAAAATAACTCGCTCGCTGTAATGCCGCCCCGGCGGTGGCGGGGAGTGGGGCGTGGGGCGGGGGGGGCTGCGGCGGGTGCGGGGGCGCGCCCGCGTAGTTTTCCGCGAGGGGCTAAGAGTAAAAAAAAAAAAATCCGAAACAGAAAAAAAATAGCCAATAAAAATAAACTCCCCCGGAAAAAACTTTTTTCTTAAATCAAGAAAAAACAACAGTCTTTTTTCTCTCGGCCCTGAGGACTCTTCCCCCCAAATTTAAATGAAAAATTTATCTGTATTTCACGAGAGAAAATTCCATACGCAAATCTTTTGCTAAACAAATTTAAAAAAATAATTTTTTTATTCGGGGGATAAGAAAAGGAATTTATTCCCTCCATACCAAAATTTAAACATCTTTCAAATCATTAAAACTTTGAAAAAGCAGTCGAGCGTTTCTCGATAAAAACTTTTGCCCGTTGTAGGGGAAATGAGCCTTATTAGATTAACCAAATTTATAAAAAAAAACACAAGGCAAAAACAATTATTAGGCGGTTTTTTTTGTTAAAAAAGACCGCGGAAAAAAAGCCGCTCTGGCTAGCCTATTGAAATTTAAGCTTTCATAAAGTCGAAGAAAGTTTTGCCCCTTTAGTAAATACCGGGACAGGATAAGACAAAATTCCTTCCGAAGGCTATTCAAAAAAAAAAAAAAGGGACCAGCCATCATTATTATCCCGAGAGAATTAATCCCCCCTTAAAAAGAAAAGGAAAAAGGACCCCAGTTTTCGATATTATTACATAAATTTAACGTCAAAAAAAGTTTTAAGAAATGGGGTTACAAAGCTCGGTGATCAAAGTTTAGGGCAAACCACGAATCCTTCAAATCAATTGCCCCATGACCAGATTTACTAAGACTTTTGAGAAATTGAAAAATTTAATACTTTTTTATCAAAAAGAACTGACAGCGAAACAACGCTTAGAATATGCTACGCATGATTTCCCGGGGATATGTTTAAGTTTTTAAAGGGGCGCAAAGCTTTTATAACCCCTTTGGGGCGAATGTCAACCTAGAGAGGCCCCCCAAACCCCTACCAAACCCCCCCGCAGAGTGGGAGGAAAACAGCAGCGCGGTATTTAAACCCCGCCGCCGACTGCCATAAACTTATCCGTCTCACCCCTCAGCGAGGATAAAAGACCCAACTGTTGACGAGAAGGAATATAAATTTTCCCAGAATTTGTCGGGGGAAAAAAGGGGGCAAGAATTCCTAAAATATGGGGTTTGTATCGTGTATCCCCACAACGCTCTTTGCTCGCCCCTACGACCCGGGCTTTTTCACTCGGGGAAAAATACCTTTTTTTCCAAAATTGAGTGAAAAATCGCTAATCCTGGTGAACCGTCCATAGCTGCAGATCGGGCACACCCGGGAAATTGTCCTAAAATCCCCCCCAAACCATGCACCAAACCCTTTGATGACGGGGCCAAAGGGGATTTTTTAAGCCCCCCACCTTGCCACTAATTTTCAGTTCTCAGCGGTCCCTTGTCTTGAAAAGAATGAAATTGCGCAAAGCAATTAGAGCAAGCCCTCGACACGCTTTAGACGGGGTTTTTGAGCAAGGAAAAACGCAACGAACGACGAATTTGGTTTAAATTATGTCGGGTGTCCCGGGGAGGGGCGGTATAGCCAATGGAAAACATCAAACGGGTAATTTTACCCCAGTACATTGGCAGAGCAAAAACAGGCCGATGAATGGCACATAATATCTCCCTTCATTAACATATTTCAAGAATATTATAAACGGGAAATTCAACATGCCCCGTACCGTCATGAGCCCATACTTGGCATTACCAAAATCATCCTAAAGGTGGAAATTGAACCGGCGCCTCCCCCGAAGCCTAAACGGGAAATACTACAGCTTCTGGGGAGAAAAAAGGGCACTGCCACTCACGGGGCACAGTGCCGGGGCGGCAGCGCAGCAGCACACAGGGGCAGCGGCGGTGTAAAGGGTGCTGACGTCGACCTCCGGGTTTTTGGAACTAAACGAGCAGTGGCATGCGTGAAATGGACATGCCTGATGGAGTCGAGGTCACTTCCGCGGAAAACGCAAACGACAGCACGATGATTGGAATTTTACCTAAATCGTAACAATAAAAAAATAAAAAGAAAA